TTTTATGGCTAGCTATTCTTGTTAACTGGTATAAAGTTTTACCTTTTTAGTCTGCCAATATAATATAAGTTTTCAAAGAAGTTTGTAAATACTAGCAATTCCATTGTCCCATTCAACTGCCATCTTGCCATAGTTTAGGTGTACCAAAAGAATCTCGTAAGACGTAGCCTACTGTTCGGGTTGTGACCCATATGTGTCATGACGCGGTGGAATCAGGCGCTCATCAGTTTTTGGGCATTTGGAGTTATTGGTATCATCTTAAAGCTTGTTTATTTGTCTTGCTTTTGATGAGAAAATTATCCATCTATCTTTAATAGAAGAAGTCTATAGTTTCGGATTGATGGAGGTTGGGGGTCACCTGGTTTCAGAAATGAAATTTGAAAGAAACTGGCCGCCAAAGTTTGAAGACTTCCAGAGCTTGAGAGTCCTTGGAAACTGTAAATTTACATTTTTTTGTGCCTTTAATCAATGTTTTTCAATTTAAAAAAAGCCATGCATCAAAAGAATTTAGAGTAAAATTGTCCAACGAGGTGAAAAATTTAGGATTCTTCTATTTCATGATTTTGACGAGTGCCTGATCTCACCGCACCGCGACACATATATTTTTATAACTATAACTGTAGTTGTAAGCGTATTAGCTATATATTATTATATCAATGAGAAATTACGCCTGAACAATCACCCACAATAGCCATTGCTATGACTTTATTGAACAGAGCAGTGTATTTATTACCGTTATATTCAATATAGTGTTACAATATTAATAATATTCCTCTTACTTTGTTGATCCTTTAAAAAAATTTTTGGTAATCCTATTGCATGCTTGTATAAAATGAACAAATATATTATTTATATGAATAAATTTTAATAAAATGATTCTTGTTTGTGATTTTTTTTTTTCAAGAATAAAATGTTATTGCTTGTTTCTCTTGTGTGGAAATTTAAGTTGTCCCCCTCCTCAGACTGTCCTGTCTGGAGCTCCTATCTCCATACATGTGACTCTCGTGTGAGACCCCTAGTCTTTAGCACTTATATGACCTTACTTGTGTTGCAAATGTGGTAAATCTCTTAGTAAAACTAAAGATGTGCTACTTGAGAGAGTAACAAACAATGTACAGAAAGAGAAGAGAATGAACGGAAAGAGAAGAGGAATGGACGGTATAGATGTTTGATAGGAAAGAGAGAGCAGACCACGCCAGAGCAACCACCAACTACCCACATGTTTTGGAAAGTCATATTGTAGCACTGCCGGATACCAAAGGGTTAAAAGATAGGCCACGCCCTCTGGAGTGTCTTGAGTGTTCGTGAAACCAAGATCGTGTAGTAGAGAATCTTTGGTGAAACTACAGTCGCTGGGATCGTGTAGTAGAGAATCTTCGGTGAAACCACAGTCGTTGGGATCATGCATGAGACCAAAAAGGTTATATAGTGCTAGAGTTCGTGGCAGTGATGTCCCCCACGTAAACGAACGGGGGCTGCGTGTGCCCACTCTGGGACTCTGAACCTCAAGGGTAAGACATGCGCAGTACATCTGACGGGTGAGTATTTTTCGAGACTCACGTGGAGGCGTCTCGGCGGTTTACGGAGGAAATGTACAAGCTTGCACTGAATTTTGATATGATTGCAGGGTGGTCTTTAAAATACTAGAGCTCGTGGAGAGCGGGGTGGGGGCTCAGATTGTTTATGTATAGATATGGGGACACGCCGGCTATGCTGATGAGGGTAAGAAAGCCCCCATGTCTGACACGTGTGACGTCACTGCTGCGAGCTCTATAGTATTATATAACCTCTTTGGCCACAGCCCTCTCATATGGCGTGTCTCGGCAAGAAGTGATCGTGAAACCACAATGGTAAGGATCGTGCACGAGACCTATTCGTCGTGTAATGGCTGACGGCAGCAGCTCGTGGTCGCTATAAACCACAATTACAAAGTTCTATTTAACATTTTTGACTACTTTTGAGTTTTACCTAGTTTAAGACCACAATATTAGGTCAGAAACCAAATATATATTATTCTATCTGCTCTAC